ACCCCCCCCTGGCACCTCTTCAGCAGCACTACGAGCAGCTCGTCCGTCGTCCTCTGCAGCGTGGGCTTCTTTAGCTTGAAGGGATCGTTATCATACGTCACCTTTCCAGAAAGCTCTTCCATCTTTTTCAAGAACTTCCTCACCTGGAAGAGGCACTCTGCCTCCATGGTGAACCTGTGCCAGGGCACACGATGCTGAGGACACGAGGATGCACAAACACACCGAGATGCACAGTCGACAGAGTAAACTAGAACAGTGTTTTCTCAATCCAGTTCTCAGGAACCCACAGCTGGTCCACGTTTTTGCTCCCTCCAAGCTCCTGGGACACAAAAACGTGGACTACCTGTGGGTTCTTGAGGACTGGATTGGGAAAACACTGGACTAGAAAATGCGCAAACACACCGGATGGAGGCTTAAAGCATACCAGTTCTCCAGGTAGCTCAGATCCACGTCCTCCTTGGACCCGATGCAGGACTTCTGCTGCCTCTTGTGCCACTCTACCAGCTCTCCATTGACAATGACTGTGAGCAGCTCCTCCGCCAACTTCAGAATCTCAATCATGGCTGTGATCAGGGCCTACACCATAAAGACGGGCGCCATGACGACGGGCATGATTCATGCATAACTACTCAAGATGCTTAACACCAGTTCGACAAAGAGCATTCAAAGCTCAAAGTTGAGAGAATGGGAAACTGACAAGGAGCGACGGTTGGTGTAGTAACAGGTCATGGAGGCCTGACCACACCTGCACAAAAGGGCACTTTATGTCGCTGCTGGATGCACCCTGTGGTCAATGCACAGCTGTGCACAGTCACAGGGGCCTCACCTTCCTGGCAGTATTCAGCCTATTCAGCAGGACCTGCAAGATGTTCTTCTGCTGCCTCTGCTCCTCATCACTGGTGCTGCCTGGAGAAAACCCAGATACACAGTCATCCCTCCAGCAGACCAATAAAAGCCCACATATAAAGCTATGGGGTACCAGCTATGAGCCGGGACTCGATGGGTACAGAGACCATCAACACATTCAACCAAACTCAGTATTAAACCCATTTATTTTTAGCAATCATTAAAAATTATACCTAAACCAGAACAACTGATAGCATTTTAATTAACATTAACAGGAAATAATTTAGAAACAAAAAGAGAGTAAAACTGATTCTTAATTATGTTAGACAAAGAACCACACCTTCCAAAAATGCTTGCAAAGAATGAAGTTCAGAGATGTGAAGGTTCTGATGCACTCAAGTTTAAAGAGCACCAAATTTCAGAATAATGCTTAAAACCAAAATCAGGAATCATAACCCACCTTCCATCATCCGCGTCTGATACTTGAAGTCAAATTCATCCTGTTGCTCCTCCAGCAACTTGACATTGTGCTCCATTTCCTGTGGGGTGAGATGCAGGAGAGTCGACATTACAGACCATGAGGACCATTCTGCGTGTCAAAAAAAGAGAAACAACGATCGCAGCCCCCGCATGGCCGTGGTGTCTCATGAAACATTCCCTCTTGATCATCAAAACTGAGCATCACCAGCAAGGCCACAGCACACCAATACTGAGACGTGCATGTATAAACCTGGACCCATGTCACATAATGTACTGTACAAAAGTCTTTGTAAAAAGTTTTAAGATATTTATCACAGTAGTAAGTGAAGCTCTGCTCAGAACAAAAAACACAATGTATCAGAACATATGCAAATGAATAGCAACTAACTAACAAGGATTTCTACTGCTCAACAAAAAGTTGCTGGATGGCTAGATGCTGGATGGAGGCTCCCAAACTTCTCCTCAGGAGCACCCCAGTATGCATTCATTAAATTTCACCACCAGCTCAATAAATTAATTGACTTAATTTGTTAAATAACTCAATGTGGTATTGATTAGTCAAAGAAGCTGGTAATGAAAAAAATGCATGAGTGCATGAAATGCATGTTTGCTGCAGATATGCCCATGATGCTGCCAACATGAAGATCATTTAAGCATCACTGCCTTTGACTACCTAAGACTATTGCACAGTACTGTACATGGGGGGGGGGGCAGCATGACACACCTGGACTCGGTTTTTCAGCTTGGTCATCTGCTGGGCAATGTCATGCTGGCTGTCCATCTCCACTGGGCTCTGGTGGACCTGGAGAACCTGCACCTGCAGGAAAAGTGGTGGAACCTGCATGAGGAGACATCCGGCCAGACTCTCCCAGACAGCGAGTCAACAGAGAAACCAGCTTCCTTGCAGGATTGCACATCGACACAAAACGCATGAATGCGAAGGCACATCCATCCCCCAATGACCTGCACCTCCTATCCGGTTCCCCTCAACAGTTTTACCTGCTGCGCAAGCTGAGCACTGTCCAGGATCTCCCGCTCTTTGATCAGTAACCACGACATGACCATGGCCAGATCGTGGGGTTTCTCTTGATACCGATACTGTGGAAAGTCAGTCAGACATATATGAGTGAAAAAAAGATCTGAGCTCCATGTTTTCTGAGGAAATCTAATGAGGCTTGCAGGAATATAACAGGGGGGGGAAGTAGACCTGGAAGTTCTGTTTAAAGCGGCGGAAGTTTCGCTGCAGGACGAAGCAGTCCCGCTCTTGCACAAATCGGCTGTGCTGGTTGTCCAGCTTCTCCAGGAGCACTTGGAAAAGAATGCTGGCCAAGGACACATCAGTGGCTGCCCCCACCCTGTCAGACAGACAAGCACACTCTAGGGACCGTGCACTACTGAGGAAGGAAGGAAGAACAGAGAGCAGGAATGCAGAAGAATACAGAGAGCCTGTGGCCTGAATCAACCGTACCAGTTCTGACTCTCTATCCAGGAGGACAGGTAATGGCGTACGTCCATGGGGAACCTGTCATGGCTGTAAAGTTCGTCCAGTTTGTTCATGTAGACCGAGTCGAGCTGCTGCAGTGAGTCCCACTGACTCATCCTGATAACACGGAGAACCAAGCTGACACACACAAACACAAGCGCCACATGTCTGCCTGTATACATGCGGTTTTCTACACTCATTCAGCCAAAATTAGCAAACCATATCAACGTGTTACGCGAGCAGAATAAAATGCAGTCTGGTGTCGCGGGGGACTGGGGGGAATGGTTTCGAGAAAAACAAAATCAAGTCACGCAAATACCTCATTACATTTTTTGACAGCGGTGATGGAACGGGTTAACGTGTATGCAAAGTTACAGCATTTTCACTAATTGCGTAACATCAAGACCTTTTTATAAAAACTCGTCAGACCTAATAGGCGATACAGGAATTCAACCAAACCTGTGCGACGTAAACACCGAAACTTTCAAGTACAAAATGTAGCATGTAATATAGTTACAGGCATACGTATAAGAGTACTAAATCTTACCTGAAAGTAAAGGTCGTAGCAGAGTAAACAACAACACGAAGCGAACCTAAACAACTGAACAGGAACTCAAACCGGAACTCAGATTGGAGACGAAATCCCGCCTCCCGCTCTTCCCTTCACTCCCTTTACTGCAACTATTCTACGATTGGTTCTCAATCAACAGTCTAATTGGCTCATCGTCTTTGAGAAGTCCCGCCCATTACCCCGCCCACCATTGGAAACTCTCATTTATGAGGGCGGACTTTCAAGCGGCCCTTGAGTTCATTTCCAGCCAAGATGTAGTAATCGCAGCCTGTGCGAAGGTTACTGTATTTCATTGGTCCAGGGTGGGACCGTGTTTTAAACAGGATTGGCTGAATTTGTTGTCAATCATGGCGCGATGCAGGAAGTTGGGGTGGAGCGTCACTTGGCGGCGGGAGTGCGTGTTGTTAAAATAACAGCCACTTCTGAAACTTTTGCCTGCTGGACGGCGATTTCCTAGGAATGACGTATCGAAACCAATAGAGATTAGCCGAAGTAGGCGGTCCTTTTTGAACCCGTGGACTCGATGTCTGTGTCTTTTGAGGCATATTTATTGCTACATGTGCTTTAATAAGTAACATATATTTGAAAAGCTATAAAGCTATAGTTTCACTTATGTGTCTGCCGTTAGCCTCTGGCTTTACTGGGTATGCATGCACTCAGATGGAAGTATTGCTTTAAGTTTATTAAGACAAGGTGAACTTTATTGATCCATCGGACGTTTTTACATTTCCACAATATTCCAGAATTATGTTTTTCAGCGTGTGATGTGCCCTTAACCAACCTCATTTGTAGAAACATTTTACAGAGTATAGTTACGTTTATTTCGTTATTTTAATTCCAGTTCGATTCCATTGAAGCGCTGCAAACATTTTCTACTTTAGATCCTTTTGGTATTCGTCGCGTCAATTCAGGTAGATACCTCGGCTTCGTGTAAATGAAATAAAATGGTAAAGTGAAGAAATAAACGTGTAATATTGTAAATGATTTTTTTCAGTTAAAAGTCTTTCCTAATACTACGTTTTCGATCAGGGAGTTCCTAAATGTGGAAACATTCCGATAGTTTTCCAGAAATATCAGGAAGAGACCCTCGGCAACAGTGTCAAGTATAGAAAGTACAGAAATGTAAAAATATCCTTCTATAACCAATTTTCAACGAAAACATAAACTATAAATGAATGTTAGGCTAAACAAAAGCGAAAACTTATGTTTGATGTAAACGGTTTTGTACGAAGCATCAGGTACGAGGCTGAAGTTTGCTTATTCGCAGGTCCTTTATTAGGATTTTCGGGTCCACCTTAAATGCGACGCAGCCGAATGCAATGACGCGCTCTCGCCTGTAGGGGGACTCATTTATCGAGGCTTACCTTCAGAACTTAATTTGGTTTTCGATTCGCATTCAACTTAACACAGTTTTTTTGTTACAACTGTTTGAGGAATACTTTGGTCAGTTTCAGTAATATTATGTGTGTATTTTATTGGAAAATGAGACATTTATCCACAGTTTTCAGAATCAGAATGCCTTTATTGTCACTGTACTTGGTAGTACATTGAAATTAAGATGCAACTCCAAAGTAGTGCATAACAAGATATACATAAATAAATACATACATACATCCTTAAAAAGCACACATACAACACATGCTGACAATGCAGGATAAATGATGATGATGATGATGATGAAAACCCTTTATTGCTGTTGCAATACACCATGTCACTAGTCACAAGTACCAGCGAAAGAACTGGACATCAACCCGACCATACATATACGCAATATCACATTAAAGTGCTGAAATAAAGTGCTATTTATAAAGAAATGTTCTTGACACCTAATGTTTGTTAAGGTAGGTAACTGCATATGGAAAAAAATATTTGTGAATCTGTTATTTCTGGATTTGATGGCACAGTAACGTCTGCCAGAATGTAACAGGTAACTGGGGTGGGCGCAGTCCATGATGATGTTGTTGGCTCTGTAGACAATACAACTTTGCAATATCGGTGATGGAGGGGAGTGGACAGCCAGTAATTTCTCCTGCAGTCTTTTTGATCCTCTAAAGGGCCTTTTGGTCTATTGCTGAGCACCCAGTATAGCACACTGCAATGCCATCAGTTAGGACGCTCTCCATGGTGGTTCTGTAAATGGACACCAGCAGGCGTTCACTCAGATTACGCTTCTTGAGTATCCTCAAGAAATGCATGCGTTGCTGGGCCTTTTTGATAAAGTTGGCTGTCATTATGTGATGAATTACAGACATGACTTAAAAATGCCCATACAAAGCCAAATGAAGTTCTGGAGGTAAGTTTCAGTAAATGAGTCCCCCCTACAGGCACAATCACATCATTGCATTTGACTGCGCAGCATTTAAAGTGGACCGGAAAATCCTAATAAGGAGATGTGAATAAGGGGCCAACTTCAGCCTCGTCAAACAAGTGGGGATCAGAGAACAGGGTCAGCCTGTCCTTGGAACAATGATAGGGTTATTTCTTCATGACTCAACCGTAACATCATTCACAGACACACACATTTGCACACACACAGGTCTGTAATTATATCTTTGTGGGGACTCTCCATTCACTTTTATGGGGAAAACCCTAATCCCAGCATGATGACCTTAACCCCTACCCAGCCCTAACATTAACCATAAGTATCCAAACAAAATATGAGACTTCTGGCATTTTTCGTTTTTTGACTGTATTCACAGATCCTTGTGGGGACCTGAAAAATGGTCCCCACAACATAAAAATAACAGTTTTCTTATTACATTGTGGGGAATATTTGGATCCCACAATATAATATAAGCATACTCCACACACACAGCCCTTTAAAGAGTCCTATGGTTTGATTTGAATTCTTGAACATTGAGACACAGGCAGACTATGCTGCTGTATATCATGTTAATTTCATTGGAATATTGCAGGAATCTCTCTAATATATGTGCAGCCACAATGGACTGCCGAGGCTGGACTCGAATTAGAAATCAGCCCTGGACTTTGGGGTCCCCCCCCCCAAAAAAATTTGCTGGTCTAGTATCCCAGATTGGAGTCCAGCCCTGCCACAACCGCTCCATTGTCTTAATCTTGATTTTAACAATTTTATTGGCGGTTCAACCAAAATAATTCCAAAATTGTAGTTTGTGGTCTGGTGTGCCACAAAATGTTAATGTCATGATTTTGAGATAACCCTGCTCTGTCAAATGGTTTGACCCACTGGGTGAAAAGTATTGCGGAATTCTCCATGGAGCGGTTCTGTTGCGAGAGCTCGACCGTTTAGCTCAGGACCAGACAACGTGTTAGGAGGGCTATTTCTGTTTTGGCCAAAATGTACTGTAAATAGTTATATTTGTGTTAATGAATCAATCTTTTGGACTCCATGAAGACGCCTTCTGGTGTTTGCTTGGTCATTCATTCACCTTGTTTAGATTCCTTAATTTCCATCACATGCAACTGCTTAAATGCTTAAACGCTTGGTACAGTGAGTGCTGTAGAATGTATGAAATTGGAAACACCGGGTGTATTGCAGTTCATGACCCCAGCAGGTTTCCATTAGCAACTGACATTAACGGGAACATGTGTGGTGACCCTGATGAGCCATAGTTGCTTGATGTCATTAGACTCAGTCATGTAACTGATCTGTTTCACTTTGGAAAGCTACTTGAGTTCTTTTAATCTAACATTTTGGGAAATGAACAGCATGGCTGTGTATTTCTGTTGCTATAATGGCAATGGTATCTTCACTTTTAATTGCATATGCCGCAACACATGCGCATGCGCATGCAAATGTAAGCATCTTCATGTGATGTTCAAAAAAAATGCAGCTTCCTCCAGGAGCACGATGTCGGTAATGAAGCTGACAAATAAAACTCCTTAACAATTTCACCACCAGCACAGTACAGCTGAGAAATTCCATCCATCGTCTAACTGTGCGTCATGGTGAAATGCATGAAGGACAGATTCAAGAATATTCTGCAAGTTAAGCCAAGTCATTTTATTCTGGTGTGCAGTATATCATATATAGGAAGATGAAGACCTTATGAGTGTCATGTGTGAGGAGCAGGTGAGCCGGGAAGAGGAGCCAGACGAACGGGTAAACAGGGTTTTAATTGACACGAGAAGGCAGACATTCACTAATATGCAGAACAATACAATGACGGATCTGGGTAGACTGACTGAGACAAGGACTAAATACAAAGGACAGGTTGGAATTAACTAGACATAGGTGGGAACAATCAGGAAATCACACGAGGTAACAAGGTGGGCGTGGCACACATCGGGATCGAACGGAGCGGATCGTGACAATGAGGCACGTAATGAGTATAGCAGACACCAGAGATGGCTGGATGTGTGACTCAGAGGATGAACGTTTTTAGGGAACCGAGGCCCTCGAGCAGCTTGATGTTCTGACTGCATGGGTTTTGCTAATTGCCTTTGAACATGCTCTCAATCTTAGTGACCCCAAGCAGCTGAAGCAATACATCTGAGATCTTTCAAAAAGCTATTCTTAGAGCTAGATCACCGAAATCCCAGTTCATAAGTCAGCTCACAGTCAGTTCACAACTCTTAAAGGCTGATCTAAGTTGGTTATTCATTTATTATTAATCCATCATTGCTTTCTTTCTTAGAAGATTGTGAAGCATAAATCAGATGTAAGTTCTATTTCACAGACACTTCTTCCTTTGAGTTTTATGTGGATTCCCTACACAGTCCTGCAGTGCAGTTTACTGGGAAGGATACCTTGACTGTTTTGAAACCTTGACTGTTTTTCTTGAATGCCTTCAACACACTTTAGGTGTATTGCTTTTTCATTTTTTTCCCAAGCAGAAATATAAGTGAGGTGTCAGAGCAGAGACAGAGAAGCTGCTTTTGTTCCCATATGGCAGAACCTTGAAACACTGTCAATGCCCCAGTTATTACTGTCAAATCAGCGTGTGATGCACAGTAATGCCGCATTTTGTGTTTTGACATGAAAATTCAACTGCTTGTGCTATTAAACTTAAAAGTATAAAAGTGTTTCAATCCATATGTTTTGTGCAAATTTTCAGGGGTTTATACTGTGTTGAAATAAAGACCCAGGAGGCTGTGGTTCATTTTGACTTCTTTACTGTACATTCCTGGCACAAATTGCATCATGGAGCGTAAATCACACACAGCATGGCGAAGTTCCATCTGGTTTACATAATGGGGATTGCAATAATTATAGCTGAAATTTTAAAAGTCATTTCAGGAAACTGCGGTATACTCAGGGCCAGTCATAGCCCATGTGGTGCCCCCTGCGTTGTGCCCCCTGCGTTGTGCCCCCCGTTCAAAACAAAGTGTAATCAGCTAAGCTGGCGGAAATGCCGCCCTGTGTGGCCTATGTTGCCTAATGAGTTGAACTGAACTGGATACAAAAGCAATAAAAATAGAAACACAATAAGCTCGCTGGCTGAAAGTCAGGTTGTGTAAATTTAAAGGATCTACATTTCAAATTTACATATCACATTCAATGACAAATATTTCTGTTACACTTCAGTTACAATATTGCAGTCTAAGTTAATTGAGGTTCTTCCTTTTTTACAAGACCTGCTATTGTCCTGTGTAGGTACATCTGGATACTCTGAAAGATCTACAAGAAATAACTAAGATCTACAATGATTCTTAAAACTATTTGTGAAAATCTGATTAATGGGTGTCACTGCCTGCTGTATATACAAAAACCTGCACTGATTTACCTACTGGTTGTCTGTTTGAAAACCTAAAAAAGGCTGACTCATTCTTAATCTTTAACGGAATTTCCCTGTTATGCTTTTACCAGAAAATAATCGTGTCGCTGTGGACATTTCTCTCAGTCTAGAGAAACGCTGAGGTCCGTCTCTGTCTCCACTGAAAATTATTTCAATAAACAGTATAAGCCTGGTTCTGTGAATCTCTTGCTAGCACATTATGTGAGGAACTAGTCTATGGTAAAAATTAATGAGTAACAACAAAATTTCAAGCTTAGAATTTCCTTTCCCAATTTATGCTTAAACTGAAGCAGAACTTCAGTTTAAATAGAACTTCACCAAATAAATGATCCGGTATTCATCAATATTCCACTGTGCTTGGGGCCACTCTGGGACCAGGACTGGGGATGGGTACTACCTTTATAGTCTGTATTTGGAGCGAGGGTGAATATTCAACCTGTATTAAGCAGAGGAAATGTCCTCTATGAAACATTACTCAATAGTAAAAGTGGTGGACCAGATATTCTGGTTCATGATTATGTCCTCTTTGCTGTTCATGTTCTTGAGGAGGTACTTGATCCCTGCTTTCACGCCCGTCTTCACGCCAGCCCCCAGCGCATAGCCTGCCACCCCCACTGTGCCCCCCGTCACAGCCATCAGGGCGTCGGTGCCCAGGTCCACAGCGCTGAGGAGGGCCCTCTCCTTTGCCGTGGTAGAGCAATTGACAGACGCGTAGTAAACAGCAGTGCCCAGGCCGTAGAGCGTGCTCACTGCGGGGATCCACTCCACTACGCTGTAGACACGCTCCTCTCTCTTGTCCACGCAGTCTTGTTCGGTGCTGCGCGTGACACGTCCAGCGCGGGGCAGCCCACACTCTCGGATCCAGCTCTCCGAGCCAGTAGAGGGCACCACGCGGCTTTGTCTTCTCAACACTGCCCTGTAAAGGCCCAAAGTGACACCAGGGGACACACCGGCACACTTGTGGCCCAGAAGCTCACAGGCACGCACTGCCGCTGCCATTTCCCCTTCCTCCTCAGCCGTCTGGCCCAGGAGCTGAGTTCCATTCACCCTTATCCAGCCCTGACACTCATCGTCCCCCCCAGTCACTCTATCTCCCAAGTTCTGACCCCACTCCTCCTCAGTCCTGGCCAGCTGCTGGATGTTGAACATAACAGCTCGTAGGTGTGACTCCCTCCATGCCCCGCTGGGGGAGCTGGTGGCTTGCAGCCTGCGGTTCCTCTCCAACAGCTCATCCAAGTCAAGCAGTAGCTCCTCTGTATCCTCCTGGCCCAGTATTTCAAACAGCTGCAGAACCAGGACCTGGGCCTCCCTAGAGCAGCCAGCAGCCACCAGAACTGGCACTAGGGACAGCCCCAGCAGCTCGCGGGGGAAGAGAGCAGATGCAGAGCTGTCCAGTGTCGCTGTTGCCAGGAGCTCCTCACAGCTAATGCTGCCCTCCAGGCTGATGGGTCGCATCTTCTCCCGGAGCATCATCATGATGCTCCTCACCAGACGGAGGGTCCCTTCAGGTGTCTCTTCCTCAATACCTGAGTCTCCATCTGGTCCTGGGGATCCTGGGAGGCCAGCCTGCAGGGTAGGTCCAGAGGCGGTCAGCAGCAGCTCTGGCTTTCGGTCTCCCTCCAGGGTCATATTCTGGTACCGCAGGACCTTCCGGCCCGGCGGAGTGGCAGGCTGGGAGTGGATGCATTCAAGCAGCAAGAGCTGAATCACGATCAGCCACTTGAGTTTTGGATTTGCCATTCCGTCACAATCTCCCGGGTGATGCAGCTCCAGCATACTGGGCAGGCAGAGACATCAGGGGAAAGTTTACAGATGTGCGTCAGTGTTTTCCAGGTGTGGAAGCACTTAAGCTGTAGCTGAAACTGTCCTTCAGAAAACAGAGGTAACAGCACATCTCCCTATGCGCAAGTGAAACAGTCCCCCCCACCCTGAAAGGGCCCTCCCCCTGGCATGCAGCCTGCTCTCCTGCTCTCATCGGTTACGCTCATTCTGCAAACGCCCGGCCATCTGTCACAGTCAGACATGCCAGCAGCTCATCTTATGCAAGATTATTTTATGAAACTGTCATGAAGAAAATGATCAGGATGTGATGCTTCGTAAAATCTCCTTCAGTGGCTTAATTCTCTTCCTTATTTAATTATTGGTTTAAGGAAATCAGTTTATAAAAACATCGTCTTTACTGGTTGAATTCTGGACAGATGCAAACATTGTTAAACATGTGAGCTTTCATTTCATTCTCTCCTCTCTCTTAACTATCCTGGCCATTAGAAAAATTAAAAGAAAAGAAAAGAAGACGAACTGGTGAACACCAACGAAATAAGTGTCAGTTATTAACAAACCTGTTCAGGGTGGAAATCACAGTTATATGTAACATATCTCCCATAATTCCCAATAACTAAGTCATTGCCTGAGCAAACAGTTGCTACTTTGTAAGACTCACCGCAAACAGATGTCCCGAGTCTGGTGTCTGTGAGCGCCAGGCTGTTTCACTGTGTCTCTATGTGCTCCTTCCCACTCAGACATATAGAGATCATTTCTGTCCCAGTCACCAATGGGATTCTAACTCTGTGATAACCAACACCCCCTGGCCCCAGCTCACTCCCCCCTCCTCTAGTTGGCCTCATTGCTGAATAGCAAGGACAGGGCTGGAATATTGATTCATGCAGAGAAGGCCCATGCTTTCTAAAGCGGTTTTGTTTGTTTGCCCTTCTCTCTTGCATTCTCCTCCTCCTCCTTCTCCTATGCCTCCTCCTTCTCCTGTTTCTCCTCCTCCTTCTCCTCCCCCCACCTTTGGAGTAGTAGAGGTTTTGCCGGCAGCCTAGATACTTAGCAACAGGCTGCTCTCGAGTCAGGAGCAGCGGTTGTTGATGAGGGTCAGCGAGGCTGAGACTTCATCGGCTCTGCTGAGCCGTCTTGCTCGAAAACACGGTGGAGTCGTGCTGAGAGAGGGACCACACGTCACTGAGCCTCCAAGACAAACAGGGATGAAGAGGCCCCTGCTGTAGGGAGAGGCTGCAACACTGCAGCACGGCGGCTGCATCTGCTGCTATTCCTAGCAACGTTCAGATCTCAGAAATCTGCGTTCATCAGCTGACTTCATGAAGTTCACAGAGGGAAGCTTCCTTCCCCCATGCTCAAACTTTATCACACTCTTCAAGTCGCACTGGCTGTGACATGCTCAGAAATTTGTCAGGGCAATTTTTTTTTATGAATTTGCTCTATTATGACCAGAATTAACTGTTATACAGCGAATATGTGCTTGTGTAAGAGTTTTGTATGAATATCTGTATATTTACCCTGTCCCCCCCCAAAAAAAAATTGCCATAGGTCAGGAGGGTGGTGCAGACCTGTCTCACTGTGTAACTGAAGCTACATTCTTCCATGGTGGAAGCTTCCTGAGAGACTCGTTGAATGTGCTCCAAGACCTCGGGGTCCTCTGGGACCCCGGCTGCTTTCTGTGCTGAGTACTCTACTCCATTCCCATTCAGGGTCAACGATCCGGCACTTGTTCACTTTTTAGCAGGGGGGCAAAGGGAAATGGAGTCGAACAAAAAGCTGAGCTTTGGCAATAAACAAACACGGGCTCACAGAAGGCGGGGGGAGGGGGGCCAGGAGCTTTTAACTGCAGTGTCCAAGGCACCTCCTTTTAGCCTGACTGAATGGATCGTCTCTCGTATGCCAGACAAGGCAGAGAGTGCCACTGTAATGGCGCGTTGGAGCTACGGCAGCAGGGGGCAGTGTGAGCTTCGTGTTTATTTGGCAGTAAGTGCACTCAGAGCACACAGGCTCAGGAGGCATGAGTTTGACAGGCGGGTGAGGGGAGCTTAAGACGTCTGCTAACGCAAATCGTGGGGAATTGTGGGTAGTGAGAAAGCTCAACGGGCTTTATGCAGGAGTGAGGCTGAGAGGCATGCATGGGGGGGGGGCACAGTACGACGAGGACAGTGTGTTCCGTCCTGCCCTACTGGACAGGTCAGGACAGGCAGGTCCGGCCGAGGGGGTCACAGGCTTGACTGCAGTTATTTTTATTGCAAAACATTTGACCTGAGTTGTACTGGGGGGTGATCACACACTAAATTGCCTAATTGCTCGAATTGGTACCTGGAGCAGAGCTTACACCGCATCACGGGACGACTGGACGGGGCCCGCGACACCCCCATATGACAGTCATCATTCTACTCAGATTCAACTGATAAAAGGCAGAACATCGACATTTATCCAGCTGTAATCTCATTACAGAGGGTGTTGGCAATTAGAATGAGCACTGGTTTCCAGCAACCGCATTCCTGATGAGGATGCGCCAGTAGTGGTGATGGTAGCCCTAGTGGCTGATGGCGAGTTTTAATATTTTGCTTGACATCAGGCTAGAGGGTGTTCTGCTGGCATACGAACAGAGTAAGACGATTGGTCAAACACGAGCGTTATTTTTCAGCAGGCAAAATTTGCTCTGAACAAATGAATACTTGGTATTTACATGGTGCCTGCCTCTCTGACTCGTAGGACCGATGCATCATCTTAATAACCTGTCCAAAAAGCTTGTTGCAGGGAACAAAACAAATTATTCTGTAATGAAAAACTCATTTGAAAAACTAATAAAGCAGACTAGGTTAGCTGGGTCTCTTGGAGCCCGGCTGTGGAATGATATACCTGTGGGTGCTAGCCAGCCAGAGAGGGAACGAAGCCTTTCCCCAACTTCCTCTTTGGCTTAGTGTAATCCAGTCGCCCACTGAGGGCCGTGATAATTATGCGAGCGATATTACTGAAAGAACACAAACGCCTACATGTTTATCCACTGATTCTTCAAAACAAAACACAGGCTACTTACACATAAGAAGAGCTAGTTTGATATTCTTCCGTTGATTTTTATGAAGATGTTATTTATCAGAAGAGTTTTTCCGAAGTTTGGTTCTAAGGGTGCCTCGCATAGTTGTCATTCCTGTACTGTCTTGTTACTGGACACTAAAGGTTAACCTAGCAGCACTTTGTGACTTTGCTGGCTCCTTAACAGCTGTGTGTTTTATATGTTATCTGCTTACATCAATGCAAACGTGAAATGTAAAACGGAATCGGCATTTGAAAAGCAAGCAGAGCTCGACATGAGAAATGAATGTCTAGATATAATGTAGTGTTTGTGTTTAATGATCTCTGATGATGAAGGGATTGCAATGTATTGTAATTATCCTTTCAAATTACATAAGGAACTGCATTCTGACTCATTAAATCATGGCCTCAGCGTAGCACTGAACAGTTTATACACCCTGATCTGTCATCCTCTAACTGACCTCCTCTCCCCCAGTCCAGTCTCAAGTCACTGTGCTCCCATGAATATTCACACATTTCAGTGTGTGTGTGTGTGTGTGTATGTGTGTGTGTACCCCTAATACACCACTTGGGGGCGCCTTCAGATGAGCTCAGCCCAGCCCAAAGCAGTAGTTTGCCCACTACAGCTTTATTGCCATAAATTACTTGAGTATAAATTTGCCCCAAGCGGTGGATGTAAAAATAGAAGACCACAGCTCAGTTAATGTGGGATAAATGTGTAGGAAAACAATTTCAATACATTCCGGTAAAAACCAGCCTCTGGTTATGAGAGATTATTATTTTGAAATCCAGCCCTGAAGGGTGAGCGGAGACAGAAAGTTCCATGGAGTGTTTGCCTCCCCCCTGCAGGGAACACAGGATGGACACGCACACGTGTGTGAGCTGGTGAGACACATGCCTGCATATGAGTCTGGCCCAGAGCAGCCAAGTCACTGCACTCCTCTAGGCCAGACTTATGTAACAATCCTAACATGTTTATGATCTCTGCAAGCCCCACCCCAGATGGGATAGCCAACCCGGGGGGGGGGGGGGGTGTAGCAGGAAAATAGGACAGGCCCACAGCTGGGCGTCAGAGTCCAAGGATCAAAAGATAAAACATAACATCTCTTTTGTCTTTTCCAAAATTAGGCTCAGGAATTTGTAGACGGCAAGCTTTTGTACACACCTGCATATCTTAAAGTCTCCTTCATGATCCCATTTTCTTCCTTGTTCTGGTCAATGCTCTATAATTCCTGCTATATAACCCTAGAACATACAAAACAATAATTAACTATTAACTATAGCCAGCTGAGTGCACGTTCAGATGTGCCACTTTCCTTTTCAGTTAATGAGTTACGATGGTGGTCGTGTACGTTTTGCCTTTATTTTCAGCCTAGGCATACTCCCACATGCAGAAAAATACTCAGCCTTCGGGGAGACGTGAGAAATTGTTATGATCTTGCATTTCTTGCAGCGATACATTGATATTTTTTCTTTCTGTGTGGAGCAAAACAAAAAATTCAGTAGGTCAGATGGATTAAGAGCCGTTTAAAAAGTTTTATAAATCAGACATACAATACAAATCCATTCATATCTGATTTGCCTTCAGAGACTTTCAAAGCATATTCCTTTTAATATTAATAAAGACTTGGGTGTAGTTTGGCCATTGCAAATTATTTCAGATGAACAGGCTTTACTGGAGAAAAACTTATATGTTTCCTTAATAGCCATTTAAATGAGAGTTGTGTGTCTGAACCCCATTTTAATCAGCAGGCTTTAGTGAAGCCCATAAGAAAGTAAATAATAGACCATTAGTAAATGAACGAGGACCATTTACAGAAGCAGCCTGACTGTGGTCTACAGCTAGTTAGAGGATATTTGGTTTGGTTGCTGTTCAGACTAAATGACAGGGTGGCTTCTTGTCAGGGTTCGAGTCTCTCCGTCATGACTCCATGTGCGTGCATGTTCTCCCCATGTCATCATTCCTCCCCACAGTCCAAAAACATGCTAAGGTGAATTGGAGGTGCCGAATTGGCCATAGATATAAGTGCTGTGTGACATAAATGTGCCCTGCAATGGGGAGACACCCCGTCCAGGGATATTCCCTGCCTCGCACCTGCAGCTTCTGGAATAGGCTCAGGATGCTAGCAACCCTGAATAGGACAAAATGGTTGGATATTCTGAGACTGAGCTTATGTAGATCACACTGTAGCACCCAAACAACAGCTGGAAATGGTGCATTGGAGCAGCAGTCGTGGGACTGACCTTCCACAGTAAGACACGACATGTTGCTGTGCTAAGGTCACCGGTGGTCCTCTTGCAACCCCTTCCTGGGGAAAAAGGCATAGATGATGTGTGGATTAGTGATTGTTGTGTCTTTCTCTTCTGAAATCATCTGTTGTTAAACCTCTTTAAAATGTGGAGACACAGAGGACCGGAGGTTAGCAGCGTAGTCTCACTCCTCCAAGGCAGGCGTCTTTGTTTTTGTCCCAAACCCCAGCCGCCGTGTGGAGTTTGCGTGTTCACCCCGTGCTGTGTGAGTATCCTACAGCTACTCCAATGTCCTCCCACAGCTCCTACAGTTATGGTTCGTGGGACCAGCCCAATGTGTTCTTGGAAAGGCTGCAGGGTGATTATGATTCTGTGTGGGATAGACTGCTATGAAAGATGGGCGGATGAATATGGAAGGGGTCCCCAAGTGCACCCTTGTGTAGGGTCCCCAACTGCACCCTTATGTAGGGTCCCGAAGTTCACCCTTATGTAGGGTCCCTAAGTGTACCCTTATGTAGGGTCCCGAAGTTCACCCTTATGTAGGGTCCCCAAGTGCACCCTTATGTAGGGTCTCCAACTGCACCCTTATGGTGCATACCCAAGTGCACCCTTATGTAGGGTCCCCAAC